TTCAAAATTTGTCATTCATGGGATTTGAACTTTAGATTTGCTACTTGAAGATTGACAATCTGACTACTTCACTAGGTTGTTACACTTTTTTTGATTAGTTAATTTATATAATTCTATAAGTTAATTTAATTAATAAATTTTATATTTAATCTTTAAAAAGTTATATCTTACTGAGTTTTTAATAAAATTTAATAATTTTATTATAATTAAATCAAAAAAATCTATTTTACAAATCTTTTTTACAAATTAATATTAATTTACTTAGTATAATTTTTTATAAAATTAAATATAAAAAAAAATTATTATTAAGTTTATATATAATTTTAATATAATACCCTTACTTTTAAAATAAAAGTTAAACAAATATAATTTATATAAAATTTTGTAAAAATTTTTTATTTAAATACAAAAAATAGGTTTTTAATTAAATTTTTTTTAATCTTAATCAGTCATACTAGTATTTTATTAAGATTTTTAAAATTATATTAGCAATTATATAAATATATCTAATAATTAACTTTAGTATTATTTAGTTATCCAAATAGTATCTAAGTATAATCTGTTATATTACTTTAAACATGTTAAAGTAAATTGCTTATTAAACTATTTAAAATTTATAATAAAATAACTTCTTTTTTTATAACAAGCTCTAATAATGTTTTTCTAGTTTTTTTTTAATTCACATTATCTTTTTCTTTTAGGCTTGCTGTTTTATTTTACTGTTAATTTCTTGTATATTGTATAGAATTGCTTTAATTATTTTAGTTAGTATTATATAATAATATATATTATATGTTTGTACTATAATATTATTATCTGTGTTTTAATATGTTTTAGTTATTATTTTTTAGTTAAAATGTTCTATATTAGTTTTGAAATAGAGGTAGTTATAAAATATAATTTGAAAATTTTAAAATTTTAAAGTATTGTCTAAATATTATTAAAATATATATAATTTCTGCTTGTTAGTAATTATTAAACTAATATATATTTCATTTGTTTTATTTATGCATTAAGTTTTGTTTAAAGAATATTATTACTTTTTTTAACAAAATTCTAATATTAAGAATATCTAAACTATTTATAAATAAATTTAATAGTTAACTAAAGTTGAATTATTTTTTTTACAATTTTGCTAATGAATTTATTTTTATTATTTAAATATAAAATCACTAATAATCTATACATTTAGATGTATCATTAACAAAATTTTAAACTATAATAATTTCAAAACATTTGCATTTAACATGAAATATTGCAAAAAAATTTAAAAAACTGTATTGATCTCCAAATTTTATTAACAAACTTTGCAATATTTAATAATAAAAAATGATCAGCAAGTTTTTTTTAGTCATAATAGTAGTTAAATCATCAAATTTGGATAAGTATTTGCTAAGATAACTTAAATGCAATTCTTTTAAAATATTGTGAATTTTTTAAAATAATTGCGAAATATTGCAAATATTTCGAAAAAATTGCATTTGAGCTATTTTTGTGAATACTTATCCAAATTTGATAATTTAATTATTATTATAACCAAAATAACTTGCTGATCATTTTTTATTATTGCAATATTGTGAAGTTTGTTAATAAAATTTAAAGATCAGTGCAGTTTTTTAATTTTTTGTAATATTTTATATTAAACATAATTCTTTCAAAATTATTGTAGTTTTAAAATTTGGTGATAGTGGCAACTTAGTGAAGTAAATAAGTTGTCAACTTCTCAAGTAATAGGTTGTAAGCTCAAAATCTACTAATGCTAAAAATTTAAATAATCATTTATATAATACATAAATAATATTATAGTAATAGCATTCTGTCAATCAGTTGAAATAAAATATCTGTAACTATAGTCACATCAGCATGACTAGCAAGTCACAAGACATCTGTGTAAACTTGATTATACAGGAGAATGCAAACTAATACTGAGTAGTACAAATTTAAGATTAAGTTCTTATAATTGTATAAATTTGTAGACTGAAAAAAACCAAAACTTATTTAAAAATATTGAATAGAGAAGTAATATGGATCTTTAACAGTACTATTGTAAAGACTAGACTTAGAAAATAGATATCAATATAAAGAAATTAGACAAACAAGAACCTTAGATAAGAGGTACTACCAATCAGGTTATCAGATTTTAGACTAGAAAAAAAGAATATTGAACCAGATTTAAAATACTAAAAACAGATTACAGTCCTTTTAAACAATCTAAATTAAAAGTCTAAAGACCAAAACAGAAGTATACTAAAAGTACTAGGAATATGCTATGAAGTTAGTACTGAGATCTGGATAAATACTGCAAAGATAGCCTTTGTTAATGATTTATAAAGTAAGTAGATAATTAATAAAAAAAACTTTTTGTATCTTACTGATAGATATTATATTCTAAAATATGTAATAGTCTATAAATCAATACAAAATAGATAGGTACTATATTGCTTAGACAGTATACTAGTTAGGTATATATAAAGAGTTAGTTGGTGTTACATTATGACAAAATGAATGATTAGAAAGTTTAAATGAATAATCTCCTAATAGGTATAAGTATGACATCTAATATAGAACCCTAAGGTAAACTACTTAAATAAGTAACCAAAAATTGTTCATGTAATTAGTTATATTCTCATCTTTATATAAAATAATTGTAATAACTAACTTTAACAAAAGTTAATAAAAGAGGATGGTAATCCTAGTGTAGTGGTTGAGTTGTCATTCTTCAAGTGGCAGATCTAAGGTTCAAATCCCACCTATGATGAAATTTGGAAATTATATCTGTGTTATAGTAACTGTCTTCTGTCGATCGATTGGCCTTATGTAGCTGTTACCTAGATACACCAAGTTAGGTTCCCCCAACATTAGGAGCTCAGGCATTTATGCATTGTGTAACATTATACATAAATAGAGAAATGTTTACTAGTGCTGTATAAGACTTCAGTGCAAACCCATGATAAGACCACCGAGTGTAAAAGAATAAAAAACTGAGATGACAAAAACTCACTTAGAAATTCCTGAGTAAAGAGATAGCATGAACTTTTGACAGTACCATCGGACCAGTTGAAGCTCACGAAACACTTTCATAGGAACCGAAGATTAAAACCAGATGGCAAATATGTGTAGAGAAGCACATAATCAACCAGGCTGCTGGATTCGCCGAAAGAAAAGGATACAGAAGTATATCATACTGGGCTATCTGGATTGGTAGTCTGGATTGAGACCAATGATTCTAAGTTGCGGCTAGTAGGAGATGATGGAGAAGATGCCAAAAAGATAGGTACTGGGTTCTAATGAACTTTACAAGAGTAGAAATAGTATAATATAGCAGTTAAACAGGTAACTCCTATGACTGCAAGTGTTAGATAACTATAGCATGTTGCATAAAACTAGGTCTATATATGTAGGATATAAAGGCTCTAATAAGTTTCCTATCGAGGATAATATGTAAGCAGACTACTTAAATTAGGCACCAAAAATGCATGCATGGCTAGTTGTAACCTCTAATATAAGGTGAGCCCTTGGTGGCATGCCATGTCCTAATATACTTAAATAAAAACATCACAACTCCCAAGATAGGGACAAAAAAAAAAAAAAAAAACAAAAGTTAATAAAGTTTTATTATAAAATATAGTCTTTAATATAAAAAAAAATTTTAAAAAAAATAATCTATAGATTAAACAAAACTATAAAAGAATATTTTTTTTACAAATCTTGTTCTTATAAGTTTAGTAACAAAAATTTTGTAAAATAATTACAAATATGAATAATATAATTAAATTTATTATTTGAAATTACTATTATACTTATTGTATCTATTTTTAAAATATATAATAAAATTAAAAACTTTAAATAAATTATATATATAACTATATAAATTCTTACTTGAACATATACAAAAAACTTTTCTGTAATTATAAGTCTTATTATAAATACTTGTTTGTTTGTATATTATGTAATATATACATTACATTACTTACTGTAATTTCAACAATTGTTTGAAAAATAAAACAGTATCTTTGTCAAATCTAAATTATATATTATTTGACAAATTTTTTGTTTTTAATTGTTAAATAAAATACTTATTTTCATTTATGTTTTTTTCTAATCACTATGCTTTGTATCTTGATAAGCTTGATAGGTCACAACATAAAAATCTTCAATAAAACAAACTTGTGTATTACAATTATGATTTTCTATTTTAAGATTTAATTTCTTAATCATCTCAACTTTTACTACTGCAAATATATGAAGAACCCAATATTTATATTTTGGATTTTCATATGTACTGTACTTGAAGGATTTCATAAAAGAATTAAGCTATGATTATATTTAGAACGATTCATTATATGTCATTCATTTTTACGATTCCTTATATAGTCATTAACTATTTTTTCAAAGGTTTAAGGTGAAATAATTAGATAAACTAGTGAATTATTTGAAGTCATGTTGAGACAAAAATCTTGAAATAAAAAAAAAACCATTAAATTTATCTTTTTTTATTTATATATCTTTTTAATCTTGTAATTTATGCAATTTAAAGTTTATTATATTAGCGTATTAGTTTTTAATTTCCGTTTTACTGCGAATCTATTTCGCCCAATATGAGTTGAGAAACCGATTACGTATATGTATTTAGTTTAATTTGATATATGTCATATTCCAATCGGTATAAATTTTAAAGTAACACATGTTAATCTAAGACCGACATAAGTCATGAACCGACGTATAACATGAATATACCCAATTATTATTTGACATATGTTAAAGTTGCGATTTTAAATCGACATGTGTCATTTTGACGAAGTGACACATAACATGTCAATATCGATATACAGATAAACTATTTTAAAAATTATGTATTTTGATTGGTTAACGTTAATATTAATTATCACGGAGATCACAAAAAATACCAATTTTTTAATATCTTCGACATTTACAATTTTGATTGTAAAAAACCTTTTCGCCATTTAAATTTACGCCAAGGCAAAATATTTTCGACACTCATGTGTAACAATGAGGAAGCTGAACAAGCAGGTAGTTGAGCTTTTTCGAACTTTAATTCATTGTTTAGTTAAATAATTAAAACGATATATAGCTTTGCCCTACAGGTGGAAACAAACTTTACAAGACGTTGATGTTACGGTTCCGGTACCGAAGGGAACACGTGCACGAGATTTAATAGTTACGATCAAAAAAAAACATTTGACTGCGGGATTGAAAAATAATCCACCTATTGTTGAAGTATTTATCAGTATATATTATCTATGACGCGAAAATGATGGTGACAATTTTGATTCTATTTGAGTTATTTATTTAGGGTGAATTATGTAAAGAAGTTAAGATTGAGGATTGTACTTGGACGCTTGGTAATGTGACCTAATGATTTAATATATTCATTCATTTCTTGATCATAAATTCTTATTAATAATTGCTGTCTAATAGAGGACCAGAAAGAAATTTATATTCACTTGGAAAAGGTTAACGCTGTAGAATGGTGGGAGAATGTTATCAAAACCCATCCTCCTATCGATACAACAAAAATTCAGCCTGAAAATTCTAAATTAAGTGACTTAGATGGTGAAACGCGTGCAATGGTTGAAAAAATGATGGTGACTACATTTTATTCAATTCTGTTTTTCTTTTTATTATCCAACTAATCCCATGAATCGATTTTTTTTAGTTTGATCAACGTCAGAAACAGATGGGTAAAAAAACATCTGATGAATTGCAAAAAGAAGAAATTTTGAAGAAATTTCAAGCACAACATCCTGAGCTTGATTTTTCAAATGCCAAAATTTCTTAAGAGGAAAAACAAATCTAAGCTTTATTTTTTAAATAGCTGATATATACAATTTTGACTGTACAAAATAGTTTAAATAAATTATAAAAAGTAGTGTGTTAATAGTAAATTTTAATTTTTTTGGCATATAGTAAAATGCTAACTTATATATTTTGGATATTTACAAAACCAGAAGTACACTTTTTTTTATCTTCGCTGATCTTTAAAGTTTTATACCACCTAACTATTTCCAAACATAAGGTTTACTGAGACATAGCACCTGAGTACAGTTCAAGATTTAATCTTCAAAATTTTCTGGATACAAATTATAAGATTTACAAGTTAGCACATTACGGTGATTAGTGACAGTGAATAATCCAAATGACAAAATTATTTACGTACGGAGCTTGGTTATATGCAGTTAGTTTTTAAAGTTTAACGTTCCTAGTGTTCCCAAAACGCTTAATTTTTATAAACAAAAGTTGTTAAAAAAAGTTTTTTATTTATAAATTTTTGTTTTTTATTTTGCTATTTAAAATTAGCAAAAATTTAAATAATAATATCAATTAAACCTTAAAACAATAAAGTTACTTTAGATAGTATATAATTTTAAGTTTTATAAACGTATGTTATCCGATTTGGAAAATAATTACTTTTTTTTTCGCGTCAGATCTACAAGTTTACATGTTTTGCATTAAACTATTTAAACATGTGAAACACAGATTTGATTTGGTACGTACATTGCTATAAAATAGACTTTAACTTTTTCGTTCACGCTAATAATTTTTCTGCTTCATCTAATTAAGGTAATTTTCGAAGATGACTTCTTAATCTCCGCTAACAATTGCATAGTATCATTATTGCTATCATTTTTTAACAGTATATAAGTATATCTATAGTGAGTCGCCAAAAGTAATACATATACCGAGAAATGGCAACACAGAATAAACAAATTACTGACGTCCAACTTGACGAAATTACCTTAAAGAAAACTTGTCAAACTATTGTGCACTCAGCAGATTTAAAGTTAGTTGAAAAGTTCTTTTGTATATGTTAACGTAACGCAAGGTTAAATTCAAATGACAATTACATTTAATAAAGGACAATAACTATTAAACAAGTAAGAAGGGATGCTGAAGCTAAACTCGGATTAACAGATAAATTTCTAGATAAGCAACCTTGGAAGGATCTTATACGTGAGTTTGTTGATGAAGCGATCCAGAATTCGGTGAGTAGAACGAGACGTATAATCATTCCTTTGATATATGACAATCACCAACTTTCTGTAATTATTATTACAGAAATCAAAGGATTTACCTGGTGCATATTCATCAAGATCAAAACCTAGAAGAGTTGGTAAGAAAAGCTATATAGTTCAATTGAAAAAGATCTTGAACCAGTGGTTAAAAAAATCCAAAAGTAAGACACCTAAGCAACAGTTGTCTAAAAATAATGTTACAGCATGAATTCTATAGAAACTTTTGATGATTTAGCACTAGCAGGAAAGATTAAAAAGTACCTGGAGACAATAATCTACGTTCTCAAATAATTAAAGATAGACCTATCTCTAAAAGGTTTCAATAATGAAAATTTCATCGATTAACGGATAATCCTCAGGTTCACTGATGTTTAAGAGTCATATCGCCGAGGGACTGTTGTCGAGATTATCTACTGAGCTGAAAAGTAAAAACCACTAAATTAGCCTGTTATCCGAAAAAAATCGTCAGGATACCATTTTCAGATGCCAAAAACAAAAAAAGGTATAAGAACACATGGAGAAGAATCTAATATCAACATCAGATATGAAATCTATTGTATCGACTTCAGAAGTTAAAGAATCTCGAGTACAGTTTAAATGCAAACCGAGCTATGTTTGGGATAATGAAGCGAATGATAATTAAGGTAGTTAAAAATTGCGATCATGAAAGGACGACATTAAAGGTGTTCCCAAGCACTTAATCAATAGATCGGAGGCAAAGTTTAATTAGTCGGAAATTGAATAAACCAAACAAGTGAGTTATCATTCGATGAATAAAACCTGGAGGTGTAGACCATCTTTTTTTTCATAGAGTTGCACTGATTGGCTAAAATTTAGAATCCGCATTTCGCACAATGAATTTTTAACAAGTTGTCCTTCGATTAATAACATTAACCACTCAATCGTAATAATTTGAGCAACATCTCAATCACTAGCTAATCACATTGAGGGGGCTACTTGAGAACATCCTAAGATTAATTTCATCTTAAAGAGTTATCTCCCTTAATGGATTTTTCGGATACGGGCTAGTTGAAGGGTTTACTTTCAATTCAGAGGTAACCTCGACGGACGAGTTTCATTTAAACATCGGAGACGCTGAGAATTTATCCTTTAATCGATGAAGTTTTCGTTATTGAACCCTTATTTTAGGCATTTTATCGAGATAATTTATATATTTAATTCTTTAAGATTGTAGATTATTTTCTTCAGATACTTTTTAATTTTTCCTTATTATAATGTTACATGGTGAAAAGCTCCACGGAAAGATTAATCACTTTTTTTTCTGATAACTATTGCTGAGTGTCTTACTTTTGAATTCATTGTTAGTCGGATAAAACCGCAAAGTAAGCAAACCCATCTAAAAAACTGTTTATTTTAGAAGACTTTAAAGACAATAACATTGTTGAAGATGGTGGATCAGTAATGGCCCTTGAGAACAAAGTGGCACAAGAATCAGACCAATTATTAAATAAATCCCAGACGAAAAAGTTCAAAAATGACAAATCTGCCAACAGTAATATGGAAGATGATAGTGAAAATGATATTAACAGTGAATCAAAACGATCGAATGATGCGGAGGTATCCGACGAGTATGAAATAGTCAAAAAAGTGAGAAAGGCAAAATCCACTACAATTAAACGCACGAGCTCTAATATCAGTGATAGTCACAGTGAACTTGAGGATGATCTACCAAAGAAACGCAAGACTGGAAAAGGAAGAAACGTACAAGTTGCTTCGGTAATAATAATTAAATAATGTTTCTATAATTTTCATGTAATTAATATACGGCTGTCTTTGTCTCAGCCTAACGATGATGAAGAAGCAACCATCAAGGAATTGAAAGCGTTTATTGTAAAATGTGGAGTACGTAAAGTCTGGTATGTTTTAAGTTTGCATTCATCAATTCGATGACATAGACATTGATATTTAGTATAATGCTTAAATTATAGGTCGAAAGAACTAGCCGATTGTGACACTATCTCAAGTCAAATCGATAGATTAAATAAAATTCTTAGAGATTTGGGAATCAAAGGTTTTGTTTTTTGATATTAATGGTTGATTTAGTTTTCAAAAATAACTTTTCTTATGTTTTATCCTAGGTCGGCCAACTCTAGAAAAATGTAACAGGGTTCGTAAACGTCGAGAACTTGAGGCAGAGCTTAACTCGATGGACGTTGGTAATATTGTTTCAGATGACATTAAAGAGGGCCGTAAAGCTCGTGCTTCCAGAGGCATATTTAATCCTACTGGTCGTCGTATAAGTCGTGTAAAACGTCAAATAGAGGTATTTGTCCATGATCTCATATCTACTTAGCATATTCAATCCGAGTGTTGCAAAGCGAAAATTTGTAATTGATTATAGTAAATCATTAAGTACAGTTACAGATTTTCACTTTCAACACTCATTTATTATGGCCTTTTTTGTGAATTTTACTGTAGCAATTTAAGGCTTATACAGTATATAATTTGGCAGGAGGAAACGGATAATGACGATTCTTCCATTGATATTAACCAAGATTCTGAGTGATTGCAACTATTATGTATAGTAAGAATAAATTATTACTAAACATTTAATCGTGTTTCTTGTACGTTTTATAATTTGAATCCTTAAAGGCATTATTGTTAATCGTCTGTATATAATTATGTATTATATAACCAAAATTTATATTTTTTATAAATCGGTTGACCATTATGCTCTTATAGAAAAGTTTTTTTTTTTTTGTTTATTATAATTTTGTGCCTGGTAATATACTTGTTTAACTTTTAAACATGCTTATCGTAAATAGCATCAAACGAAACTAGTTCGGAATTTTGATCATCGTTTAGATGAAAGTTCGGTTTTCATTTTTGCAAATTTATTTAGTTGTGATCGTTTTGCAATAAATTATTGCCAGGGAAAAGTCGTGTCATAACTGAGTTATAACTAGTCATAACATTTTGCCTTAAAATGCCGATACGGTATGCTATAACTTGCGTATATACTAATTGTCTGGAGCGAAGTGACAGACTCATACTTCTACCTTTGATGTCCAAGATTACGTTTTTGATACATTTATAGTAAAAATATCTTTGGTATTTTCCGGATGTAACACTCCTGAAAAATTTGATCTACAGACTTTTCAGAGGAATCGTTATAGGTAAAATCGGTTTTCTGTTATTTTTTCTTAATGCACCAAGATTGGTTTAGATATTTGTCTCTTGTGTTTTTTGCATTTTTTTTTTTTTTGTTTATCATGTAATTAAAAATCCAGGTTGTATAGAGCGTTCAGGATACAAAAGCATAGGGCATGCCTATACTTAATTCCAATATTATTCTAACTCTAACTTATAAAAATCTTTACAAAAAATATATTATAGTCTATAAACTTTTGGTTAAATTAACTAATTTAATATTATAATTAGGTATATATTAAGATTTGAAATATAGGTTTGGGTTTTATAACTTAATAGTAAAGTTTTTAATAAGATTAATAGTTTAAAGACAAATCAAGAACATTAAATTCTGTAATCTAAAATAGAAGTCAAATTAGATGCAAAGCCTTGTAGAAAATTTCAAAATAAAATACATTTTCAAAAGAAGATTGATTTTGTAAAGAAAAGTTATTATATATAATAATGGTTATTACAAATTTATATTATTTTACTAACAATTATTTTATTAATAGTTTATTTAATTAACATTATACCAAATAATAATTTACTAAAAATATATATAAACTAGATTAATGCGTAGCATTGTGAACTACCCCAACAGCACCCACACGATTTCTGCTATCATGTAGATCTTGTGTAACATCATTATTGATGGAATGATAAGCAATAACGATAATATATTTTTTTCAAACTTTAGACGAAAATATAACAATAAAATTTTTTTTCATCGTTCTTCTTAAATGGATGTTTCTCGAGACATTATCACACAAAGTTTAAAAAACTTAAATTTTTATTATTGTGACACTTGTTTCATTTTATTCAAAATTTTCTCGAGTCGTGTTTCAGATCGGGATTACTAATTTTAGAACTTTCAACTTTAGCTACAATACTTAAAAAATTGAGATACATATTAATTAAGGTTTTGAATCATAAATCGTGTTTCCAAATAACAGATCATGATTCTAAACTGGTTCAATTCTATATTAGTCCAGATAATTGTTCAAGACTTGTTAATTATTACATTTTTGATAGGTTAAATATTATAAGTGATTACCTTATATTAATGTTAAAATTTTAATAGTTTCTTTGAGCTAATTATAAGCGATTATCTTATATTAATGTTAAAATTTTAATAGTTTCTTTGAGCTAATTACTTAACTATCTTATATTTTTTTTAACCTTTATTCTTTTTAGCGTAAAAGATGGTTTTTATTTTTTTATATTGAAACTTATTGTGATTGCATATTTTGAAACCTTTTTGTATATTAATTTATTATTAGCATGGTTTTACAATAATTTAATATAAACTTATTTGAGTTTAAAAAAAAGAATCTTAAATACAATGTAATAAATAATTTTCTTTTTTTTGATTTCATTTCGATTGAAATTTTTTTCGATCAAAAATGGTTTTGCTTACAGATGAATATACTAAATGCCATCAGATACTTGAAAAATCAATGTTTTTAAATCAATCTAAGAAAAAAGTAAAATCCTGTTCTATATATCACATTCAGTCTTCACATATATATAAAATAAAAAAGCAAGAGATTAATAATCATAATGATCAAACTGATAATGATGATAATCAAGAAGAAATGATTCTTTTAGAAAAGTTACTATCAAAACTGTATGATGAAATATGTGCTATTACCTCTAATAACTATATAGAAAATAACAATATGGGAATAGAATTTTCATGTTTATTAGAATTAGATACTATAGACGATCCTCATAAACTTTCTAAAAAAATAGCTGAACTTGTTGAACAAGAGAACAGATATAATTATATATAAGTATATAATATTAAAATATACTGTACTTATATTACAATATTAAATATTTATTCATTAATATTTATATAGTTACAAAAAAATTTATGATTTAAAAAAGATTCCTAGAAGTCATTTATTTTGGTATTATTGTTTTTAATATCAAATACTTAACAAAAGATCTTAAAAACATAAGGATTTAGAGCAACAAAGAGATTGTGATAGTATAGAATAATTTGTATATAAAGGCACACTTTATATTTCTATTAATATGAATAGCAACTTTGCAAAAATTTGACTTAAACATAATTTTTTGCATAAATGACCAGAGTGATTTGAAGTTGATAATGTAGTTCAGGAACATATTAAAAATATATATATTTAACACCAAGTGATATTTATAAACAGCTAGAGTCAAATTATTCTAATCTTATGCAAAAGCAAGTACATGTATGATGAAAAAAGTTTATTAAGAAAAAATATGTTCATGATAATAATAATTAGCTAAATTCTATAAAAGTTCTTCTTAAAGAATATAATTATTCAATTGTGCTGGAAAATATTATGAAGAGTATTAAATATCTTGGATTTATAACTTTATTTTTTAATCTATTATTAAAAAACAAAGAAATCATAGTTGATGCAACATGTAAGTATAATTTAAAGCTAATAAATTAATAATATTACTTTTATTAATTTAATTATTTTTAAATTAAAGATTAGACAAATGCATTAGATTTTGAGCTCTATTCAATAATTGAACAATTTGATGAAGTTGAATTCGCAATAATGTATCTATTTATTGATAGTAAAAAAAAAGACAATAAAGCATGTACAGATATTTTAAAATATTTTTTCAGCAACTTAAAATGCTTGGAATGGATAATATTATCTTTTTTTTAACAGATAAAGACTTCAGTCAAATATCTGCTGCTTGATCAACTTGGCCAAATATGAAAATACAAATTTGTTTATAGCATTTAAAAAAAGTTATCAAAAAATGACTTTCTGATAATACACTACTAAGAACAATCACTTATAGTTCAAATGACACTTATAATATATTCAATTTTATTGATAAAGAATTCTATTCTTAATTATTAGATTTATCTAAAAAAGAGCAAAAAAAATATAACTTTATTTTTTGCACAAAAGATCTATGACTAATTATTATCGAAACAATGAATAAACATTTTCATTTACATTCATTTATTCTGGATCTTAATGGAAATTTTTTATCAGATCAACAAATTTAGGAATCTTCAGTTTATAAAATATATTAATTATATATCAATAATGATTTAAAACACTTGTGGACCTATTTATGGACTTACTAATATCAAAAAAATATGTGGATTCTTTGGACATACTTATCAATTTCAACTGAAATTTATATATTACATATAACAATACTTATTGAATCATATTGGAAAGTAGTTAAATGTGATTATTTACTAAATTTTATCGTCCACATATTAATTTAGTAATATATATTATTATTTCACAACTTATTCTACATTGTCAAGTGCAATATCAAAAATATATTAATAAAAGAGAAAAGTTTCATAGAGAAAAAATTTTAAATCTGAATGGTAAGCTCTTAGTAAAAGAAATATCAACAATACTTATTTTGTAGATATTAAACAATGGATATGCAATTATAAATCTTTTTTATTAAGTCAATTCTTTATTTGCAAACATCTTATACACAAATGCAAGTTCAATACAAATTCAGAATTTTTTCGTCATGTTCAACAGCAAGGAAAATATCTGTTTATTTTTTTATTAACTTTAAAAAATAATATATATTTAATTATTAAGTAAAATAGATCTAATTTTAATTTTAATACAAAATAATTTATATTATAGTATCATGATCACAATCTTTTCAAAAAAATACAAATTCAATATTTAATATTGAACAAGATAAAGAAAATCAACCAAATGTAACAGTTAATATTGAAAGTATTGAGAAGTTAGAAAATTATGAAAATAGTGATAATAATGACTCAGATGATTTATATGAAAACTATGAGCTATATCTTACTAAAGCATTTGAAATTGTACAAGAGCAAAAGGCAAAGAAAATTATAAATAGGCAAAATCTGTAAAAAGTAGTTTTGCAGGATTACAAAAAATAGTAACAGATATTAAACATATAAGAGAAGAACAACAAATTCTTGAACATGAAAAAATCATAATCATCATATATTGTTTCTTTAGTTTTAAAATATAAAGTAAAATAATACTTTTATTTGCAATATTGATATTAATAAAATATAGTTAAATTGTATTTTATAATAATAAAGTAAATATATCACAAGCTTTGCTATTAAAAAATAATAAATTTAATATAATATCAATTATATATATTTAATAACAGTATATATTATTTTTATCAGTATATGTATTATATTTATTGATGTTACACAAGATCTACATGATAGCAGAAATCATGTAGGTGCTGTTAGGATAGTTTCATCATACTGTATAAATACATGATTGCATGTTTTTTGTTACACTAAAATACAAATATAAACATGTATGCAGACAGACAGAATTTTTAAAATTATGTGTTTGATGCATTAATAATTATTTAATCAAAAATCTAATTTTTGTATCACCATGACTAAACATTAAATGTCCTCCACTATGCTCCAGACAAATAATAATATTTTTTTTTTTATAAGTAGTTAATCATTTAGCCAAATTGATTTTATTAGTTAATGATATTTTTAAATTTTTTTTTTAAATATTAATAATGTTTAAATATTTTTTTAATTTGTGAAAGTATAGTTAATCATATATAATTTTAGTTATTGTTTATTTAAAAGTTTTGTTTTAAAATTATCTACTATTTGCTAAAGACTTGTAAATTGACTATTTTTGAGATCTGGCCTGACCTGTATTTAAAGTTAAAGTTTTTTTGCTAGTTTGGTCTAACTCATATTTAAAATTAAAATTTTTTTGTTAGTTTGATCTGGTCTGTATATATTAAATTTTTTCTTCAGCTTGATCCAGTTTGTATATATTAAATTTTTTTTTTAGCTCAACTTAGTCAGGTTTGATTTGAAAAAATTTTTTGTATAATTTTGTAAATTTTTTGATCCAACCTAGTCTGCAATTATAAAATTTTGTAAATTTTTTGGTCTAGTCTAAATTATAATTGTAAAATTTTTCTTTAGGTCTAGTACAGTTACAAAAATTTGCAGGTTAGGCTGGATCAGACCAGGCTGCAGAACCCAATATAGACTTTTATTAACTGTTATATCTAATTTCTATTTATAGTTATTCTATTTAAATTTTCTAATTTATTTTTATTTATTTATTTATTTTTTGGTATTAAAATGACCTTTTTAGTCTTTTGACTTTTATTAATTACTTATCAGTATTGTGGTTCAATAAACTATTACAAGAGAGTATATAATTAGCTATATATATAACTTTTTTATATTACTTATTTAAGAAGTCTGTCTAAAGGTTCTCTATTAATTGTCATATCTAACATCCCTACTTGGATGTTCTATTTTAAACTCTTTGAACCTGTAATCTGTATTAACATACTAGGTCATATTCAGATATTTAAATCATAACTTAGTCTTAGAACTAATTTATTCTTGAGATAAATTTTTCAAAATCTTCTGTACTCATTTTTATAACTAATCTAGGTATTGCTATTACAGAACCAACATTTGCAGTCAGGACTTAATCATTAAACCACTATGCTCTTGTAAAGTTCACTTAGATCTTAGTATCTATTTTACAGAATAAGTCTAGTACTTTAGTATACTCTTAAATTTCATCAGATTCTTAATCCAGATGGTCTGTATAGGACTATAACTAGTCTATCAATATATTAGATCAGCCTAATATTCTTTTTTTCTAATTCATTCTAGTGGTCTAGTTGGTAGTATCTTTAAAACTTCCAACCTAAAGATTCTTGCCTATCCAGTTACTAAGATCTAGATATCTGTTTTTCTGGCTTAGCTTTACAGTAGCATCATCAAAGATCCAGTTATCTTTCTACTTAGGTTTTTCTAAATGGACTTCTTGTTATTCAATTTTACTAGATTTATATAACTACAAAGACTTATCTAGTGTTTGTATCAAACTTTTTAATTTATATTTAATTAATATCTGTATAATTCTAACTATTTTATTTTAAAATAAATAATTTTGTATTATTTCTTATTAAGAACTATTTAGGTTAAACATTATTCTTTTTTGTATTAATATTTAGATCATTGTATATTTTAAAACTTATTACTTATTACCCCTTTTATTGATGAATTCTCTATTGAAATTCCTATTCGACACTCTATTCGAACCTTATGCCAAGCCCACATTATATCACTCTGGACATCTCAACACCGTTTTCAACAATGGTTTACTATTGCATCTGACATTAACTAGGAAGCTACATGGCTCTATATCAACAGCAACCAAAAAATTTCTAATTTGCTTACAGCTTCTATTCATCTACTCTGAAAACTTTTCGAGTTAAAATTCTTACAGATGAACTTCCTGTCCTTATACTCTTTATAAACGTAACTCTTCATTTTCTTCCTTCTGTCATCAATATAACCAAACCAGCTTCTCACTTCATTGGGCTATCTGCCCATCAACTCAAACAATTTATCATTTAATCTCTAACTCTCTTCAGAGCATCTTAAATACAACTAATCTTGACATGCCTGCCAATTTGGTTTCTGATTTACATACTGAAATTCTTACACTTAACAGTTTTAAACTGCATAACTCTTCACA